TATTTTACTCCCGAATACCAGCCACGTGTTCTCCGCACACGTTCACCAGTAGCGACGGCGACATAACCTAAATTACGTCTACGTCACGCATCCCCGATTTTCCGAACAATGCCAGATGCATACACGTAATTTTCGCACATGCGCCTCCGTTCGTCTCTCCTGACGCATCTGCACTGCGAATTCGACTCTCGACTGTGTCTAATGGTCGTAGGGAAATGCAGGTGGCCTTCGGGCCGCGACCGCAAACTGCTACATTAAGCAAAGTGCAGATCAAAGCGACCCGGGGACGCGAGATTGGGGGGTTCCGCCATTTTCTCAATATCCAATCTTCGATGCGATCTTTAATTAGATTTCGCGAAAGTATCTTCGCTGGTAATTGGCATGACGTTCCGTTACTTTGGATTAGGTTAGAAAGGACATTTGAACAGATTGCGAGCTATTAGACGCGAGGATAAGGCTACGTTGTCCCCCTATCGATTCACGTGTGTATCGCCCGTACACCATTAAGATAGGTTGGCAATAACCACCGATACCAGATATCAATGTCCCTAGACAGATATTACGATTAATATCGTGGCATTAGTCTGGCCGAAAACGTATCTCGTATGCGCCGTGTCAAATCTAGGGAATTTATCTTACCGATCTACAGTCAAATTCGTATGGACGACTGTCGGTAAACAGTAATATCCCTAGACGACCATATAGCTATACGATCCGTGGCATTGAAAGGTCACGAGGGCAAATGACGATCAGTCACTATTATCCCTAGATATTTGAATCACTTTTCACTACGTTCTAGGGATATTCTTTTAAACCCCTTTTACATTAGCCCAACGAGTATCTAATCGCAGACATACCCACGTTAAATTCCCTAGATTATTACCTAGAACCTATTAGGCTTGTTATCTCCACCATTTGAATTCTCCTTGCAAGTCCCTTATCTTTCGCAGCCAAACGCATTAACCGTTAATACCTAGAACTCGACTTCTAGGAACTTTTAGTATCGTTGATGCCGATCGAGCTGTCTCTCTTCGTTACGGTTGGTAAGACTTGCACGTGACCGGTGACGTCACTCTTGCGGAAAAGGAAGTCGCGTTAACTTTCTACCGGCTGTCCTAGGTCATTAATAAACTCGTGGACTTATGTCGCGGGCCAAATCTGCATTTGAATTTACCGCCAAGAAACTACCGATCGGTATATATACGTTGACTGTGTGTTCGAGTAGCAATCGGGAATTTCCTCTAGACACGCACGGTTTCCGAAAACCTTTTGAGAAATACGAAAGACGACCTGAATCCTTGTTTGAGGGTTAGGTTAACTCGGCCTAACCTAACCTAACCTCAGCCAGCCATAACACGAGCTTTTCCGCGTAAGATAAATCTATTCCGACTTTTGGCTCGCAACAATGCCATTAACGATCCTCCATTCAGTAAACGAATGTTCGTGGGACGTTCATTGTTGTCGCTGAGTTATTTAAGAGAACTCGACGCTGAATAATGCGAAGCTGGACGCTCGCGTGTTGCTTTTGTAATATTTTCCTTTGTTTTCGTTACGCCAATTGTAAGACTCGGGCATAATTGATTTTTGTATAATAATGAATATTTTCTTTGCTATCAAGCAACTTCACCTCCCTTGCAGTGAAATTCATTCGATACAAATATGACGGATGATTCGCGTGGATATGGTTGGGTTAGGTTAGATCGGGTGTTGGTTTACATGAAATTCCGAGTAATCGCGTTGCATTGACTCGTGCGAAATTTAACGTGTTAGACGTTTCCTGTGCTACGAATAAGAAAATCGAGAAGCGAAGTGTTAAAAAAAAAGATGGACTTTGACAGTAAATAATATATAATTTTCCTTTTATAAGCAAGGATCCAGTAGAGACTGTCCGAATAAATGTGTATAAAAAAAAATTGAAAACACGGATGAGTCTGATGAACGAGCATTAAATTTATCCAACGAAGTCAGAGAAAATATCTATGTATATGTATATTAAACCTCGCGTAGGTTGACAAAGTCGCCGCCATGCTGTCTGCCGTTGCTGGTTGCCTGCAGTATAGCTACTACCGATGCCAGGTCTCTTTCCCATCTGTTTGCTCTCTCTCTCTCTCTCTCTCGCCCCACGTTTATTTGCTCTTTTCTTCGTTCTTATTTATTCTACCCTTGGTTACCGACCGGGCTTACGCGACGCGACGTCTGTCTAGCAGTCGGCTTGGATGCGCTCGCAACGATATCTGCCGGAAACAAGAACGGTTGGGGAGTTTGAAATTGTTTTTTCTCCTTTTACTCAAACGGCCGTTACATTTGACTCTAGCAGTAGTCCAAGCTATAAATACCGTAAGGTAACAAGGTGTTCAACTGCACGGTCATTACTGTTACGTAAATCAACGTGTATTTTAATAACTTTATGTGTATTGTGAATATTTGAGGATCGAGAAAAAACGAACCGTTGGTGTTACCTACTGCGCAGTCACTCTGCGCAGAGTCTGGAATGTCGCTCGTCGGACGGGAAGCGAATTTCGTGGACGATTTATTCGACGTGGCTTAGACATTTTGGTCTGTATAATGTACATTGCTACGAGTCAATGGACGAATGAAGAAATAAACGAATGAACGAGCGACAGAATCGCGGGAACGTGTGTATATATATATATATATATGTGGACGGTAACGGACTCTATGCAAATGATCGGCAATGGTTGCGTAAAGCCAAAGACCATTGGCTGGGTTACATTATCTGATTGTGCTAAATTCGGTCTGCTGTTGGTAGCTATATCCAGGAAGTGACGTCACGGATGTCACACAGAACGACCAAACGCCAATTTACCTATCTTCATCTACTTGCCTCCGGGCTTTGATCTCGACCCAATTTTTCTTCTCTTTTTGCACTTCCGGAAATACACTAATAACCTGTAATGACCCTTTTTGTATTACGTGTATTGAATTATTTTTCGATATCATTTATTATCATATATCGCCGTATCACTTTGTATTATTAAATGCAGTAGGCATGAAATTTCAGCTGACCCTTCATGGTTATTTCTTCGCGGGCAATTATACCAATGGAAACTTAATGGAAGATGTTAATCAAATTTATTTTGATATTTCTATCGGTGGCTTTTACCTTGACTCGCGTTGCTGTTATTATTTTCGTTTAACGATATCGTTAATGCCTTTCGCGAATTGTAAGCTCATCGAAATTCGGCAACGTGGCTACTTTTCATAATGTATGGGAAATTATTGGGTATCAACGTTGCCTGGTGAAAAATGGGGTACAAACGACTCTTTCACTTAAAACTTTTTTGTCTTTTTTTTATTTTTCTTATCTTTTATTTTATTGTCTTGCTCTACCACTATTCAACGGGACTGGCCATCACTGCGTTTAACGAGCTTGGCTATTAAGTCATTACTCTTCTACTATGCTGCAAACCCATTCGGGGACATTTCAAATTTGTATAAAAAAATCTTACACGTCGAACGTTGGGAAAGAGGTTCGTAAATTAATTTGAATTTCCCGCCGCTTTTAATGACGCTGTGGCTAGTATATAAGGGTGAATTAAATTGGCAGGACTGTCCGATAAGATTGATTAACTATTACGAAGAGTCGGCAAGGTTGATTTAGGCTTGTGCTTTTTTTTTCGAAGTTTTAATAATTTGTTAATTAAGTAATTATTGATTTAATCAGCATTCATCAATTTTTTAATTTACGCCCCTCCATTTTTAGCAACCTTTAAATTTCACTGGGGTAGCTATCGTCGGTATCAGTGTTGTCATTTGAGATATTATCTAATTGAGTCATGATTTTTTTTTAATCATTAAGGCATCGTTCACACTGGAATTGTCTTTTTAATCGATTTCGCGATTACGTCGGATAAATTCGTCCCACGCAACTCCGGGCGAGCCACAGTTTCTATATTCACTTCCTCAGCACGCACGACCTACAGATCATCCTACGCTACCCAATTTATCATTATTCATTCACAGGGAGCGATGTGAACGCAGCCTCCATCATCCGTCGATCATCCTACACGCCTTGTGTTTACATATGTATATACATTACTTACTAAAGTCTCGGGACAGATGTGAATCCGGCCACAATTTTTCATCTGCTCTCGAACGTCATTCGTAACTCCACAATGGACCGACGAAGCTGGATGCTGCGTCCAAAGCCGAGATGCATCTCGACAGTATCTATTGAAAAAAAAAAAAAATGGAAAATGGGATATGAAAAAATTTTCACAATTCCACACGTATCCTGTTATTATAAAAATCAAATTTTGGTATTGAAAATTTTTTTTGCGAATTTTTTCAAAAACCTATATTTCCGTATATTTCGTCGAGACGAGTCCGAAGAAATTTTATCTCGCCAAGATCGATTATCGCCGATCACTCTGAATATCGTGACAGGACAATGCGACTGCGATATTTAAATGAGTGATTTTTTTTTATTGAATAAAAAAAATAGTTATTGTATGTAAAACAGTGAACGAGCCGATAGTCGATCGATCGCTGATTTTTTTTTTAACGATCTGACGTCAAGATCATCTCCTGATCATCTTCGAAAGATCTTCCTACGCGTATACCTGACTGCTTATTATTATTATTTGGCAGTAGGTACCATTTAACTTAGCAACCTACTCGTCATGGTGTCGAGACCAGGTTGGCAGGTTCACCCACGAAGGATGAACGAGAAGGAGAGTTTCCATTGAAATTCAAATGAGCCACATCCCTCTTTTTTTTTCAAACCCATGCATCGCCATCTTTGTTTATTTCTCTTTTTCGTCTCCGTCCCATTATCCCGGTCTGGTGGTTTTTTACTGTAATTTAATTACAGACATTGTTACGTGATAACCGTGCCGTGATAACGCGCAGGATAACCTCTTGGTATTACAATTATGGTTATTTGCATTTATAATAAAAAAATTTTTTTTTCATTAAATTACCTCTGTTACGCAAACTGATTGGCTCATGAGAATTTTTCATATTTTTTTTTTTTACAGTCATCGAGTATGATATGACAATCATCCGAAGTGTTCGCTAAGCTATCAAGAAATAATCAATAATGAAGAATCTGCAAGTTTTGGCGATCGTCTTGCTGTTGGGTGCCAATGCGAGGCGTCCCGACGGCGACGCCGCCACCGAGGACGTCTTTGGCGGTCAGCGTCGCGGCGCCCTCCACAAGCCAAATTACAACGGTCAGCAGGCTAACTCGCCTTATCTTCCTTATCAGCAGCCCAGAGAGAGGAAGCCCAATATCGTACTGATCCTTACGGACGATCAGGATGTGGAGTTGGGTGAGTTTTTTTTTTTTTTTTTTATTTTTTTAAC